TTTGTGAATTTAACTTGCTCCTCGATATACTCATGGTTTTAACCAGTGTTCCCTCTAAGCTGAGTTAGTGCGAGCTAGCTCACAGTTTTTTAGCCTCTGGCTCACACATTTTTGTCTTCGCTCAGGAAGGAGGGCTCCAGAGCAAACTAATTTATGCAGTAGCCAAACCACTCGCTCACAACTTTCATGCCAGTAGCTCACAAACCAGAATTTTTGCTCACAAGTTTCCACAGCTTAGAGGGAGCATTGGTTTTAACCCATTAACTTGTTTTGCTAATATTGAAAGGTACACTGGCAGGCAGCTCATTTCTATACATTTGCTTCTCTAAATGTGCTTTATTTATTTAGAAAATTGTCTTTGCTTCTGCTCCAGAGTACCTGCTTGAGGGAATTTACAAAGTAAAACATAATAAAAACCCAGCTAGGTCATAAAAATAGGATTACTTGGGCAGCTTCTCCATTTCAGTGTATAAACGTTTTATACATTCCCCACAGTAACAGAAAATCTTCCTTGGTTCATAACACCAATGTCATGTTACTTATCCAAGGATCTGTTTATTTTCTACTTCTTTGGGCTGGCACAGTATTGGTGTACTACATAAATTCTAGTTTAGATTCATTCTCTTGCTGCTCTCTGGTCTAAGACCCTTAAACAGCAATGTTAATCTATGCAGTTGTCTCAGAGGTTAGCCGTGTTGGTCTGCAGTAGAACAAGTTAGATACAAGAGAGCCAGTTTGGTGTAGTGGTTAAGTGCGCGGACTCTAATCTGGGAGAACCGGGTTTGATTCCCCACACCTCCACTTGCACCTGCTGGATGACCTTGGGTCAGTCACAAGCTCTGGCACAGCTGTCCTTGAAGAAGAGCAGTTTGTGTCAGAGCTCTCTCAGCTCCACCCACCTCACAGGGTGTCTGTTGTGGGGAGGGGAAGGGAAAGGAGTTTGTAAGCCGCTCTGAGACTCCGAGTGAAGGGCAGGGTATAAATCCAATCTCCTCTCTCTTCTCTTCTCCTTCTACTTCCATTTATCCGTTCTAACCCGTAGTTCTGATAAGAGCTGTTCTTGAAAAAAAAACAGTTTCTGTCAAGAACTCTCTCAGCCCCACCTAACCTCACAGGGTGTCTGTTGTGGAGAGGGGAAGGGAAAGGAGTTTATAAGCCTCTCTGAGACTCTCTTGGGTAATGAAGGGCGGGGTATAAATCCAATCTCTTCTTCTAGTAGCACCGTAGAGACCAACAAGGTTTTCAGGATATGAGCTCTCAAGAGCCAGTGCTCCCCTTCAGTGCTAATGGACTAGAATCTAGCTAATCTGTACAATGATATTGTTTTGATATTCCCTGCCTTTCATATAAACCATCACAGTTTCAGACCATCCAAAGCACGTGCTAGGGATATGGCTGTCCACCCATGCTAAGTGGTAACTAGAAGAAGGAGAAGAAGAGATTGGATTTATACCCCGCCCTTCACTTGGAGTCTCAGAGCGGCTTACAAACTCCTTTCCCTTCCCCTCCCCACAACAGACACCCTGTGAGGTAAAAGAAGAAAAAGAAGAGATTATATTTATACCCTGCCCTTCACTTCCCAAGGGAGTCTCAGAGTGGCTTACAAACTCTTTTCCCTTCCCCTCCCCACAACAGACACCCTGTGAGGTAAAAGAAGAAAAAGAAGAGATTGGATTTATACCCCGCCCTTCACTACCCAGAGGAGTCTCAGAGCGGCTTACAAACTCCTTTCCCTTCCCCTCCCCACAACAGACACCCTGTGAGGTAAAAGAAGAAAAAGAAGAGATTGGATTTATACCCCGCCCTTCACTACCCAAGGGAGTCTCAGAGCGGCTTACAAACTCCTTTCCCTTCCCCTCCCCACAACAGAAACCCTGTGAGGTAAAAGAAAAAGAAGGATTGGATTTATACCCCGCCCTTCACTACCCAGAGGAGTCTCAGAGCGGCTTACAAACTCCTTTCCCTTCCCTTCCCCACAACAGACACCCTGTGAGGTAAAAGAAGAAGAAGAAGAAGAGATTGGATTTATACCCAGCCCTTCACTACCCAAAGGTGTCTCAGAGTGGCTTACAAACTCCTTTCCCTTCCCCTCCCCACAACAGACACCCCGAGAGGTGGGTGGGACTGAGAGAACTCTGACACAAACTGCTCTTTTTCAAGGACAGCTGTGCCAGAGCTTGTGACTGACCCAAGGTCACATCAGCAGGTGCAAGTGGAGGAGTGGGGACTCAAACCCGGTTCTCCCAGATTAGAGTCCGCAGACTTAACCACCACACCAAACTGGCTCTCTATGTATGTAACAGTGAACAATTCAGTTACAGTGTAGCTTTTGGCTTCTTAATATTTTTCCCCTGTGTAGGTGATGAATGCAGTTCAGTGAATGTAACAGCCACAAATACGGAAATACATATCCAGAAACCTCCCGACTTCACAATAAGCAATGTAACTTTTACAAATGGGACAGTGGCTAAGCCTGGACCACTGAATGAGTCGATATCTGATCTTGAACCTGGAGTACAGTATATTGTATATCTTCAGAATATTACCGAAATATGCTGCGAAAATATTACCACCGGTAAGTAGGAAGGGTGGGTGGGGGGAGCATCCTGGGAGAATTTTTTTTTAAAAAAAGGCCTTGTCAGCCTTACAGGAAATGTATTCTTTATTTATGTTATTTTTCGAATTTATAATCTGCCCTCCCTGCGAATGGGCTCAGGACGGATCACAGCAATAGTTAGGCCATTCGGCAACACAGACATAGTAAAGGTAAAGGTTCCCTCGCTCGAAAGCCAGTCGAATCCGACTCTAGGGTTGCGGTGCTCATCTCCGTTTCAAAGCCGAAGAGCCAGCGCTGTCCGAAGACGTTTCCGTGGTCATGTGGCCTGCATGACTAAACACCAAGGCACACGGAACGCTGTTACCTTCCCACTGAAGTGGTACCTATTTATCTACTTGCAATGTCTTGCTTTCGAACTGCTAGGTGGGCAGGAGCTGGAACTAGAGACGGGAGCTCACTCCATCATGCGGCACACTCGGGTCTCGAACTGCTGAACTACCGGCCTTCCACAGCCTGCAGTTCAGCGTCTTAACCACATAGTAATAAATAGTTAATTAAAACAGCATTTAAAAACAACCTGCACTGATACTGGTGCCTCTGGACTCTGAGCTTGCTCAGCCCGGGCGGCATGAAGGTGACATCTTCAGCGGGGGGGGAGGGGGGCGAGTTGTTTTTTACTGGATGTCCACCACCTCAACCAAAGGCCTGGCGGAACAGCTCCGTTTTACAGGCCCCGTGGAATGGTAAAAGATTTCACAGGACCCTGATCTCACATGGGAGCATGTTTCACCAGGGCGGGGCCAGGACAGAAAAAGAATCTAACAACTCTGCCACATTTTACTATCTTTCCAGAAGGCGGTCAAGTTTTAAATGTAACAGCTCAAAGAACTAATCTTGACATAGAAGAAATATGATGTTGTCTCTCACTCTTGTACTTATTTATTTAGGGTTGTTTTTTTTTAAAAAAAAAAATGCATGCTGCCTCTCCAGGAACCATCTGACACAGCTTACAATTTTTAAAAAATTATTTTATTTATTGATTTGATTTGATTTCTGTCCCGCCTTGCCTGACAAGCAGCAGGCTCAAGGCGGCGTAGAACAATAATTTACAATAAAAACAGATAAAATTTTAACAATAAAATATAAAGTGCAGATTAAATTCAAACGATAAAGTGCAGATGGTGATCGTTGTAGTTGGCCCTGTATGACTAAACCATGTTAGGATTGCTTTGTATTTTGAGATTTTGGGAATATTGGTTGACGTTGTTTTAGTACTACCCCTCAAATTTTGCCTTTGTTCTGGTTTATCTGTGTTATGCCAATAAAGGTTTTCTGCTCTCTCTGACTAGACCAGTATCCCAAAGAAAATGCCAGTAATAGATGTTCAGTAGCTCGTTTTTTAAAAATATATTAAAAGATATTGGCTAAACTCCAGAACTAAAACCCCAGCCCAGCATAAAATGACAGTGTCTGGACTAAAATAGTATTAAAAGATCAACCCCTTAATCAAAAGCTTCAGTTTTGACTGGGGGAACCTAAAAGAAAGCCACCACCGAAAACGTCTTGTCTCTGTTAGCCACACACCTCACCTCTGTAAGAAGAGCTCTGTAAGCTCTTGGAGGATTGGCTACATTAGGGGTGTGTCGCCTAATATGCAAAGGAGTTCCTGCTGCAAAAAGAGCCCTGCGAAAGCTTCAGTTTTGACCGGGGGAACCTAAAAGAAAGCAATGTAGGTGCCAGTCAACCCTCAAAGGGAAGGGCATTCCACAAATGAGGAGCCACCACCGAAAAAGTCTTGTCTCTGTTAGCCACACACCTCACCTCTGAAGGCGGGGGGGGGCACAGAGAGCAGGGCTCGTGAGGCAGATCTTAACCGGCAGGCTGGACAACGTGGGAGGAGGTGGTCCTCAAGTACCCCGGCCCTCAAGCCTCTTAGGTCTTTAAGGGTAAAAAAACTAGTATTGTGAATTTTGTTCAGAAATAAATGGGCAGCAGTGCAGCATAACAGAATACAGATAGTTTGAATGTTAATGGCAAGGAGTGGCCAGAAAAGAACGTGACCTTGCAAATCATGTCTGTTAGAGCATCTTGTCCAGGTGTTTGTTTGTTTGTTTGTTTTGGAGGGGTGAAACTAGAAATATCTGCTAAGTGAACTTAGGGCTGATTTTAGTATTGGCTAATTGCTACCTCTCAAACTCCATGCCATCAGAAGACTGTGCTGTGAAGACTGTGACAAGCTGATTTTTTTTATATAAAAAGACCCCAACAACCTATTTATTAAGAGCATCTTGTCCAGGCACCGTTCTGTTTGACTTCTTGTTGCTTTATTTATTCTATGTTTAACAAGTTTTATATTTATTTATTTATTATTTAAACTTCTATCCCACCCTCCCCGAAGGCTCAGGGCGGCTAACAGGGCAAAGTGCCATATAAAACCATAAAACAATACAAAATGTTAAGTTACATAACAATTAATAAACAGTTAATAACATCATAAAACATTTTTGGTGCTCCTCTATTCCGGTTCCGATGTTGTGATTTTTAAAAGCAAGATGATGTCCTCAATGTCCTAGCTAAAAGCGTCCTGTTCCCACCCATGATGCCCGCATCCGGGTGGCCATATAGGGCATTGGTGGTACAGTGGTGGCAGTGGCTCCTATTCAAAAGCCTGGCAGAGGAGCTCCGTCTTACAGGCCCTGCAGAACTGTAGTAGGTCCAGCAGATCCCTGATCTCCTCCGGGAGCTCATTCCACCAGACTCAGATGTCATAAAATCCAGCTTCTTGCCAGACTTCCGTGCTCAAGTACCTGCCTTGCTCACACCACTTCTTTCTACTGTCAGCTAATGCTGCCATGGTATGGAATGTGTGGGCCGCTGGTGTACTCGCTTGCTTTTCTCCCTCCCCGCTTTCCACTGCGCTTATCTTTGCAGATGTTTTTGAAGCTTAGTAGCTTCTTCTCCGCTTTTCCCGCTGGGAATGTAATGGCTGGGCATCAGCCCGCGCTTAGTATTGTCTGCTCATTGGCTTCATAATGTCAGGGGGTCTCCTTTGAAGGGGGTATATCCTATAGGGCTTTTGCTTTCCCCGCCATTCCTGACGCAAGAGTTCATGGTGTCTCAAGTGCTATCCCTCAATAAACTGAATCTTCTGAAGACCTGGGGTGATTTCCCACCAGCGCTGCTCCGGGCTCACTCTTCACTTTTGCCTCGATGGTAGGTGTCAATTTCACACAAGCTGCTGCGCGGCCGCATTTTGCCTCGCAGCTTCGTGCAATTTCCCCTCAATCCTGTTTTTTGAGGATTGAGTAGACGCGAGGAAAATCGCAGAAAGCTGCGAGGCAAAATGCGGCCGCGCAGCAGCTTGTGTGAAATTGACACCTACCAATCGAGGCAAAAGTGAAGAGTGATCCCGGAGCAGCGCTAGTGGGAAATCACCCCTGGTGTTGAGTGTGATTGACAGGGAACCCTGACATCTACTCTCACCCTTTCCCCATTCTAGAGTGCAGTGCCGGAATCTCAGCTTGAATGACCGAGGAATTTGTAACTAACAAATTAGTTACAGTGAAATCCTAAACACAGTTACACTTTTCTATGCCCATATACTTCAGTTTGCTTAGAAGGATGTAACTCTGTGTAGATTTGTATTGTGAATTTAGTGGGTGAAAGTAGCGTTTTTAAGATGTTTAATTTCAAAAGTCAGCTTTCCCTGATTTATATCTTGATTATGGAAATGTCTACATGATGACAAAATGTTCACAAATTAAACTGAAGCACCTCTGTCAGTGTCAAAAGATTTTCTGGCAGCATTATATAACGAAGCAATATTAATTTATTTTAGTGGTATTCATTAAAAAGTTATACAAATCCCTCCTCTTTTAACAGTGCCCAGTCGTGTCACTGACATCCATTTTAGCAACATCACTACCACAACCATAATTTTAACATGGAACAACAAAGATCAAAATGCTCCTAATTACAGCTACACGATATCAGTTGCTGGAAATGGCTCTAATAAGATGGCAACCTCAAATGACGTCACTGCAGTAATTAGCAATCTGGAACCTGGTACATTGTATACATTCACAATATATCCACAGTTTGCCGGAACAAAAGGAGATGCAAATAGTAACTCCACCTATACAAGTAAGTAAATTAAGAGTTCTGTTCAATGCATGCTTATCTAAGAGTAAGTATTAATGAAGATAGATCCAGTTGGTCAGCCGTGTTGGTCTGAAGCAGTACAAAAAAATTAAGAGTCCAGTGGCACCTTTAAGACCAACAAAGGTTTATTCAAGGCGTGAGCTCTCGTGTGCACGCGCACTTTATCAAATACATTAGAATGGCAGTCAAGGTTCAAACTTATAGCCAGAGGATGAACAGCAAATTAACATGCAACATGATGATGATCATGTAAAGCGATATTTATTACTTTACAACTGTTGACCTTATAACCTTAATTTGTTATTTAGCATATCTTGATCATCATTGTTGGGATTCACATTCCTGGGATCCAAGATCACTGCAGATGGTGACTGCAGCCATGAAATTAAAAGACGCCTGCTCCTTGGGAGGAAAGCGATGGCGAACCTAGACAGCATAATAAAAAGTAGAGATATCACCCTGCCAACAAAAGTCTGTATGGTCAAAGCAATGGTATTCCCAGTAGTAATGTATGCCTGCGAGAGTTGGACCATAAGGAAGGCCGAACGCCGAAGAATAGATGCTTTCAAATTATGGTGCTAGAGAAGACTCTTGAGAGTCCCTTGGACTGCAAGGAGATCAAATCAGTCAATCCTAAAAGAAATCCACCCTGACTGTTCCCTGGAAGGCCAGATAATGAAACTGAAGCTCAAATACTTTGGCCACCAAATGAGAAGGGAGCACTCACTGGAGAAGACCCTGATGCTGGGAAAGATTGAAGGTCAAAGAAGAAGGGGACGGCAAAGGATGAGATGGTTAGACAGTGTTATTGAGGCAACGAACATGAAATTAAGCATACTCCGAAGCACAACGGAAGACAGGAGGGCCCATGGGGTCATGAAGAGTTAGACTGGACTGTGCGACTGAACAACAATACTATATAGAGAGGAAAGCACTAGGTGTTGCACAAGAAATTGCATGAGCGGACTGCATTAAGTTCATTTATGTTTCCACTTGTGCATTGCTGGATCCAAGCCAAAATGTTTTGTGCTTGGATGTTCTTTTGAACAGAAGGCAAAATATAAACAAGTAAACGATTTCTAATCTACCGTAGTCCATATTAGCATGTAGCATGTAGGTCCTTTGACTTTGATATGGAACAACTGATTGGTTTAGCATAGGAAAAGGAGGACGGCAAGGATGTATATTGTCATCTTGCTTATTTAATATATATGCAGAGTATATCATGCGAAATGCTGGCCTGGATGAATCACAAGCGGGAATTAAGATTGCTGGGGAAAAGATCAACAACCTCAGATATGCAGACGATACCACTCTAATGGCAGAAAGGGAAGAGGACCTAAAGAGCCTCTTGCTCAGGGTAAAAGAGGAGAGCGCAAAAGTGGGCTTGAACCTCAACATCAAAAAAACTAAGATCATGGCATCCAGCTCCATCACTCATTGGCAAATAGAAGGGGAAGTCGTGGAAGTAGTGACAGACTTCACGTTCCTGGGATCCCAGATCACCGCAGACTGTGACAGCAGCCATGAAATTAAAAGACGCCTGCTCCTTGGGAGGAAAGCGATGGCGAACCTAAACAGCATGATAAAAAGTAGAGACATCACCCTGCCAACAAAAGTCCGCATGGTCAAAGCAATGGTATTCCCAGTAGTCATGTATGGCTGCGAGAGTTGGACTATAAGGAAGGCCGAGCGCCGAAGAATAGATGCTTTTGAA